GCGGGGTCCGGCCGGGGCCGTTTCTGGGGCAGCCGTCCGCGCGCGGCTTCCGAGCCGGCTCGGGCTGGGCGACGAGCGAGCTCCCCGTGCTGCCTGGACCTCACCCGTCCGCGTCCTCCGGGGTCACCGGCGCCTTCCTTGCCAGCCCGACAGCAGAAGCCTTTTGGGAGCGTTTCCTAGGAGTTTAGAGAGTTGAGCTGTTAATCCAAGGGAAGATATTTTAAAGAACATGGCCACTCGGGAGGCTGAGGCAGGAGGATCGTTGAGAGTTGGAGACCAGCCTGGGCTACAGAGTGAGCTCAAGCCCAGCCTGAACTGCATAGCGAGACCCTGTCTCAAAAAAAAAAAAAAAAAAAAAAAGGACTAGTTAGCACTTTTGAGATCAGCTGTAACATTTACATCCTATCCTTGAGAGAGAAAGACTGAGAAAGAGGTCAGATTGCGTGCCTGGAGTTGGAGTTTGACATGGGTGTGATCGCCCAGCGCAGGTTTATGAGGAGTCTTGTGCGACCATTTTATGGTCACTCAGGAGATCTGAAGGCAAATGCAGGTGAGAGAATTTCACTCAAAAAACTGTTTTATCGGGCCAGGGATATAGCTCAGTGGTACAAGCGCCTGCCTGGCAAGAGCAAGGTCCTGAGTTCGATTCCCGGTGCCCCCCCCCCCAAAAAAACCCCTAAGCCAGAAAACTATTTTGTCCCCAGTTCAAGGAAAAGCCCGGGATTTTGTGTCCTGGATTCCTGGGACTGAAGAGCGGCCTTTGAGTGGTAGAGTGGCATCTGCATGTCTGTGTTTTTAGTTTTTAAAAATTAGTTGTTTATCAGGTTTGTTAAAGTGAAATTGAGGTCAGGGCAAAACTCCAAAAAGAGATGAAAGAGAGCTTAAAGTGTAACTGCTTGTTTTTTCAGCGATTCCAGGCACTAAAGAGCGAATCACAGACTCATTTTGTGTGTTATTTTTTGACATAGGATAGTTGCAACAATGCTTTGTTTGTATAGAACTTTTCAATTAAAAAAAGCACTTTTTTTTTTCAATTAGAAAAGCACTTTTGAAGGAATAAGTACTTCTGATCTTCTCGAAGTAAGGTAGATGATTCATGAATAAACGAATGTGGATAAACTTGAATGAAGATAAACTTGTATGTAGATCCAATGTGATCCAATGTGGATCCAAGTTCTACCGTGTATACAGTAGCTGCATGGCTTTAAACAAGTTTAATGACCTGGCTTCAGCCCGGGAGAAAGATGAGGCTGTCCCCTGTGAAGACTGGAGTTGGTACAGAAAGCTAACAGATTGCCGGGTGTGCGCCTCGTGCTTAATAAATTGTAATTAATATTATTAACGCCTAACAGTTAAATGAAGGGCTGAGGTGCAAAGAGACCAAGCCTTGGCCAGTGTTTTTGCGGAAGCTTGCAAGAAGGAAGCACGGCTGGCCTTCAAACTTGGGCCTTTGGCTTTCTATGCTGGCGAGCTTACTAGCATACTTAGCTGACAACCCTCAGTGTCTGTCCTGTGACCACACACTGGGGTTTTGGTTTCTTTATCTTAGCAGGTTTCCCCATCATTAAATATGACATTATTCTGAGACATGATTTTATTACATCCACTTAATCCCCAAGAAGAAAGTATTATTATTAATATCTTTGCTTCACAGACAGGTCACTGAGGCTTTGGGGTTCAGAAATCTTCCAAAATTATACATAGGAAAGGAAACAAAGCAAAACCCCAATCTGGGCTTGGTGGTGCACGCGTGTAATCCCAGCACTTGGGAGGCTGAGGCAGGAGGATCGTTGCAAGTTTGAGACCAGCCTGGGCTACAGAGTGAGCTCAAGGCCAGCCTGAATTGCATAGTGAGACCCTGTCTCAAAAAGACAAAAAAACAAAACCAAAACCCAAGAAACAAAATTGCACAGAGCAAATGGGCACGGGTCTGGATTTAAACCCAAAGCCCTACCCACCCAACCTCGCAAATTCTATGAAGTATGTTGCTTCCTACAGTCTCTTAGTAATGTCTTGGCAGTCACATTCAGTGTTTTCAGTTTCCACGCGCTGACTTGCAAGATAAAATTCCAAGATAATGAAGTCAGGTGTTTTGACGCGCAGCATTAAAGTTATAAATAGTTTTTATAGCCTTGATGTATGTTCCTAGCACAGTTGTGCATATAACCAACATCGGTACGAGTTTTCTATCTGGGCTGGAAACAGTTAATAAATGTCTGCTGGATAAAGCGTGGGTCATCCTTACATAGTATGTCTTCAGTGTCTCAGTAATGGACTTTGAAAGGAAAGTTAGACGTTCAAACCCAGTTCACACGGGGAGACTGCATCCCCTGCCCCGTTCTCCCAGCGAGGGGAATGAAGGGGCAAGCAGTTTCTGCAATGCCAGAACATAGGGGAGTGAAGATTTCTCCAATGAGGACTGAACGGATGGATGGCTGACTCTCAAGCTAACTCAGAGCCCTGCCTTTGTCCCAGAGCTGGCTGTAGGGATATAAATAGCATCCTATGGGAACCACACTCTTCACCAGGAAACGGCGAAGGAGTTGCTGTGAGATGGAGCAGATTCAGGTGGACTTCTGGGGCCCATAATGTGCCCACAACCCTGCCAGGTATGGTTGGCAGCATGCTTGCTCCATCCCTACCAGGACTCTTCCTTTTGTAGGTGGGCTAAGTGAAGCCTTGGGAAAAAAAGCCGCCTGCCCAGAATCACTGGGTCGTAGGTTTGCAGAGCTGAGGTTTGTTTTTGTTTTTGTTTTGAGACAGGGTTTCTTGATGTAACACAGGCTGGCTTTGAACTTACTATGTAGCACAGCTGGCCTCAGATTTGCAGGGATCCTCCCGGCTCAGCTTCCTGAATGCTGGGATTATAGGTTTGCACCACCACACCCAGCTTTGGAGACATTTCTTTTTAAACAAATGGTTTTTCTAATAAACCACAAAAAATATGTATCGCCTCCAAAAAGATGCCGTGGTGAAACTGACAGTTTGGATTTTAGCTATTTCATGGTCCCTGAAGGAGGAAGTCAAGCCTCAGACCATTGAAGATTTGATAGCTGGGTGTGAAAAACATGTCTGTAATCCCTGCATTTGGGAGGCTGAGGCAGGAGTTTGAGGCAAAAAAAAAAAAAAAAAAAAAAAGCCAGGCCTGGTGACACATACCTGTAATCCCAGCACTCGAGAAGCTGAGGCAGGAGAATTGTGGTGAGTCTGAGGCCAGCCTGGGCTACATAGTGAGTTCAAGCCCAGCCTGAACTACATAGTGAGACCCTATTTCAAATAAAAAAAACCCAAACCTACAAAAAAAAAAAAATCCACAACAAAAAAGAGAATTGTTACATTGAAACAGATGGCCAATTATGCAAGAAGCCCTTGTATTTGATGTCTTTTTTTCCGAAACAACTAAATGAGCAATTTAGTGAAAAGAAAAAGAAAGTAAATTAATTTCCCTGAAAAAAAAAAGCAGTTAGCTCATGATGCCAGTGCAGGGATACTTTTCCAGAAAATTGAATACCATCTTTTAAAACCTTGAGCTTATGTAAAAAGTTGAGTCATTTTCGACTATAGCTTTGAGATCTCGAGCAGAGTCGTAAATTTTGTTGAAGAGGCCTTTTGAATATGTGACTGCTGTAATTGCTTGGCAAGGCGTCTGGGCCGTGATATGTCCAAACTCAAATATTTAATGTAAGAAAAGAGTGTAGGAAGAGTGGATCTGAAAACTTTCTGAAGAAATTGGGAGTTTTCAGGCGCAGAGACTAGAAACTCAAAAAAAAAAAGAAAAAAAAAAAAGAAACTCAGACTGTTTTTATTTGTTTCAGCATTTATTTCCTCTGAAGTAATTACTTCCTTTGACTATCACAGGTCCAGTGTGCTTGGGACCAGAAATGTGTTGGATTTCACATTTTTCCTGACTTTGAAACATTTGCAGATAAACAATGACATGTCTTGGAGGTGACGCTCAGATACAAACACAAAATTCCTTTAGGTTTTATATGTACCTTATTCATGTAGCCAGAAGATAAGTTTTTCAGAGGCCTGGATTTTGACTGCCACTCCCCATATGGGGTCAGGTGTGGAATTTGTTTTTTGTGATATTATGTCAGGACTCAAAACGTTTTCGATTGCTGGGCATGGTGGTGCGTACCTGTGATCCCAGCACTCGGGAGGCTGAGACAGGAGGATTACTGTGAGTTGAAGGCCAGCCTGGGCTACATAGTGAGACCCTGTCTCAAAAAAAAGTTTTAGATTTTGGAGAATTTTAAATTTTGGATTAGAAAAAAAATAAATTTTGGATTAGAAATGTTCTACCTGTATCAGTTCGTGTGTGGTAATAGATAGCAAATAGTTTACTGAATGAATAAATGAATCATTTCAGTGATTCATTCTCTCTCTTGCCATATAAAGTATATATTTTAAGCATTGCAGTTGGGAAATAGAAAAAGCAGGTGTTGTTATTTGTTGCTGTTGCTGTTGTTGTTTTGAGACAGGGTCTCACTATGTTATGTAGGCTGGCCTTGAATTCCTGGGCCCGGGTGATCCTCCTGCTTCAGCCTCCTGAGTAGCTGGGATGCCAGGCACCCATCACTGTGCATAGGAAGAAATGTAATTTTTAAAGCTTAATGCCCTGTACTCACAAGCATGCTATTATTTCTCTTAAAACCAATCAACTATCTTTATTCTGATTAGTACCTGTTTGCCTTACATAGGCCTACGCTCCCGCTGGGGAGCTGGCGCAGATTCGCGTGGCAGCCTCCTCCTTTCCCCTCCCCCCGCTCTGCCTCCCCACTCCCTCCACGTCCTGGTGCCTGTCTTAGTTCCTTTCCTTTTGTTGCCGAGACAAAATACCCAACGCCCAAAGTTAAGGAGGAAAGGTTTGCAGAGCTTTTGGTCCATAGTTGGCTGACAGCGAAACAAACCTCTTTCTGTCTCTTAAACTGTATCCAGTCTACCAGGATTAGGGCGGTTCCCATCCCGTCAGTGGACCAATGCAGCAGTCACCCAGCCTTAGTCCCAGCACCCTACTACGAATCCCAGCACTGCACTACAAATCAGTCACAGTCTAGATTCAGCCCCCTCTGAAAAAAACCCTAGGACTCGGTGAGGCTTTGGGGGACATCGAGACACAAACCATAGCAGCGCCCCTCCCATGTCACCTTCTCTGGGCGCTCGCAGTCGCTGTCCCCTCTGCCTGCCCTCTCCCCAGTTTCTCCTGAGTGCGGTTGTGGACACCTGGGTCCAGCGCTGCTGACTCCACTGAGATGCTGTTTTCAGCTGGTTCTCTGCTCGGAACCTCCCTGTCTTTCTCATCTCGCTGGGAACAAAAGCCAAATCCTTGCTGGACTTCGGGGCCCTGTTCCCTCTGCAGTGTCACCATGTCTCTTCTACCATGGCCACCCCGGCCCCCGCTGTCCCTCGGGCGTCCGAGCCTCTTTCTCCAGACCCTGCCCTGCAGTTCTGCTCTGAGGGTCCTGGTGAGGCTGACTCGATCTCGCGTCTGGACCGACAGCGCCGGCTCCTAGCCTGTGCAAACTAACAGCCGGGGAGATCCCTGACTTTGTGTATTGCCTGCGTCCCCACCCACCTATCCACCTCTAGAATATAACCTCCAGAACGGTGAGAATTTCTGTCTGTTTTACTGATGTAGCTGCTAGGGTCTACCTGGAACATCCTTGGAGATGTGTTACATACAGGTACCAACTCCCCAGGAGGAATGTGGACATTATGTACTACACACACGGACTCACAGAAAAAGAAAGAAAAAATCAATTGAGTAAAGTAATCCTCCCAAATTCAGTACACAGATTTGTGTATCTTTCGCATAAAGGTTTTCTGAGGCATCAGAACAGAGGATTGAACCCAAGGCTTCCACCCTGAGCGATGTCTCAGCCCTGTTTATTTTTTGAGACAGGTTCTTGCTAAATTGCTAAATTGTCAGAATACCCAGGCTGGGATATAACTTTTGACCCTCCTACTTCAGCCTCCCAGAAGGCTGGGATTACAGGAATAGCCCAGGAGTTTGCTGAGATGTATGCAGCAACCCTAACTAGTACCCAGATAAACAAACACCGCCCCCCAGAAAAAGAGGGGGTTGGGAGGGTTTTTTTTAGGCAGCGTGTTGATATGTAGTTCAGTAGTTCAGGCTGGTCTTGAACTCTCAGCAATCCTTCTGCCTGAGCCTCACAAAGGCTGGGATTACGGGCCTGTGCCACCACGCCCAGCTTGTTTTGTTTTTGAGACAGGGTCCTGCTATGTATTCCAGGCTCCAGCTCACTCTGTAGCTCAGCCTGGCTTCACACTTTCAGCAATCCTCTTGCCTCAGCCTCCCAATTGTACAGTTCTAAACTGGAAGCTACCCATATTAATTACGCCTCTTCAGTCTTATCCTTCATTAGAAAATTTTAGTTGATGGACTTTGTGCTGGTCACCAGTACAGGTCTTGGGATACATTAGTGAACGAAACAGACAACAGCCCTGCTGGTGTGTGACTTCCGTGCAGGTTGTCCGTCCTGCATCCCGAGATGACACTTCCTGAGTCGGTGACTTGCCAGCCAGGCTGGGTACGCTGGGTGGTTGTCGGTTTATTGCCTCGGTCCTTCTAAGTGCAGGGTTCCTTTTAGACCTGTAATTCTCCTTTTTATTGGTGCGTGTGTGCGGTACGTGATGAATACGCTTACCATGGGGAGTCGGTACGTGTACATAGCACATTTTAATTCTTTTTAATCCCCTAGCTCTCTCCCCACCCGCTGCTCCTTCCAACTCTTGGGCTCTTTCCTGTTTGCAAAAGCTCTATGTTCATCATTTTCTCCTCTCTTTTCTTCCCATCCCCTGTCCCTGCCTTCCCCGCCTCTCCATGTTCTTTTCCTCATCCATCTGAAACAGATCTTTCTACTTCCTATTTATGCATCTTGTGCCTGCCCCCATATATATTTGAGTTTCTCATGTAAGAGAAACCATGTGATATTTAAACTTAAGTGTCTGAATTATTTCACTTAATATTATGGTCTCACGGTGCATCCATTTGCCTGCAAAGGCCTCAGGTTTACCCTTCTTTGTGGCAGAGTAGCGCTCTGTGGTGTATGTGCGTTTTCCTTACCCATTCATTTGTTGATGGCCATCAGGCTGTTTTTATTTTTTTTATTTTTATTTTTATTTTTTTTTGGTTTTTCTCCGGTACCGGGAACCGAACTCACGACCTTGCGCTTGCCAGGCAGGTGCTTTTGCCGCTGAGCTAAATCCCCAGCCCCAGGCTGTTTTTAAGATACAGGTGTTAAGAGCTGGGTGTAGCGGTGCATTCCTGTAATCCCAGCGCTCAGGAGGCTGAGCCAGGAGGATCGCTTTGAGTTTGAGACCAGCCTAGGCTACATAAGTGGAGTTCAAGGCCAGCTTGTATTTCATAGCAAGACCCTGTCTCAAACCAAAAAAAAAAAAAAAAATAGCACTTATGAATTGTGCTGCTATAAATTTGGGTGTGCATGTAGCACTGTAATATGATGGCTTTAACTCTGTCGGGAAGGTACCTGGAAGGGGAACAGCTGATCAAATGGTATATCTGGATTTAGTCTTTGAGGAAGCTTCATGCTGATTTCCATAGTGGTTGTACTAGTTTACATTC